CACACACGAGCGATATATACATAGTGTTTATATATATATATATATATATATATATATATATATATATATATATATATATACACACACACACACACAGTATATATAATTTTTTATTTTTTCCGGAATTTTCAGGAAAGTCCACTTTCATCTCTGTTATAAACACTGTGGCGGGCTTTTGCTGCATCGACGGCCCCTGGACTGCGTCGACGCAGCTGGTCACGTGATCATCACAAAGCAGCACACGTGGATTGATCTGTGAGCTCGACGCATGCGTCGACGCATCGGTGTTGCTGGACCGATCACTAGGTTTGAGTTTGTTTTTCTTTTTCTTTTCCATTCATTTCTGCTGTCTGATTTTGTCATGTCTTCACCCAGTACGCTTGTTAAAAATTAAACCTCTTCATGAACGCAGGAATGTCGCTGTAAAGCAAAAAAAAAAAAAAAAAATGGGTGGGGATACCGCGTCATGTGAATGTGGTTGGTGTACGGTGGAGGGAAGGAGGCTTCAGCTCTCACACATGTAGGGGATACCATGGACCGCAGGAGACAGCTTCAGGTGCACTCACCTTGGACTCTTGATTTCAGTGGAATGGAATGCTGTGGGACCAGTTGTGAACTTCGACACCAATGAGAAAGCCCAAGAGGACGATGATCATGAAGACAAGGATGGCTGTGCTGACCTTGGTGGTGGCGCTCCTGTGGCAACTGGTCATTGGAGGTAAGAAGCACCTGGACAGATCTGCCCCCTTTTTTCCAGTGCTCCTTCTTCAGTGTTGGGGAAATAACAATGTGCAAATATTTTGAAGTAAATTTGTCAGGCATCCGCGGGAGTGTATTGCTGCTGCTACAGCAGCAAAAAATAAAAAATCACGTCCTCGATCCCTCCGACATGAACAACCTCCGCCCCATATCAAACCTCCGCTTCATTTCCAAACTTCTCGAAAAAACAGTGGCTGCTCAACTTCACACCCATCTTTCCTCCAATAACCTCTACGAACAATTTCAATCTGGCTCCCGTTCCCTCCATAGTACTGAAACTGCCCTCCTCAAAATGTCCAATGACCTTCTTCTCTCTGCTGACTCCGGTTCACTCGCCATCCTCCTCCTGCTTGACCTCAGTGCAGCCTTTGACACCATCTTTCACTCCATCCTCCTCGACAGACTCTCTTCCTTTGGGATCACCAGCAACCCCCTCTCCTGGTTCCGCACCTATCTTTCTGACCGCACCCAGTTTATCCAGCTCAAATGTTTTAGATCTCACCCCTTTCCACTCACTTCAGGTGTCCCTCTGGGTTCTGTCCTTGGCCCCTTGCTGTTTCAAATCTATCTTCTTCCCCTTGGTAATATATTCAGGAAACATCACATTCACGTTCACTGCTACGCGGATGACACCCAGCTCTAAATCTCGACCAAACCAAACACCACACTTCCACCATCCTCCCTAACCAACTGCCTGCAGGAATTCAAATCATGGTTCACCTCAAACTGAACAGCAATAAAACTGAACTCCTCCTCATTGGTACCAAATCCACCCAAAACAAAATAAACTATTTCTCCATTCCCTTTGACAGCTCCTCCATTTCTCCCCCTCCCCTCAAGTCAAGACCCTGGGTGTCATCCTCGACAGCACCCTCTCCTTTACCTCACATATCAACAACATTACTCGTTCTGCATATTTTCATCTTAGAAACATCCACCGACTCCACTCTTCGCTCACCCCTCACTCCACTGCTATACTCGTTCACACCCTCATCACCTCCCGACTTGATTACTGTAACTCCCTCCTGCTCGGTCACCCTCAAAAAACCCTCCAGAAGCTTCAGCTGGTCCAAAATTCAGCCGCTCGCACCATTACACTCACACCATCCATCAACCATATTACACCTGTCCTCCAACGTCTCCACTGGCTCCCCATTATACACCGCATTCAATTTAAAATCCTGCTCCTTACTTTCAAAGCTATCCATAACCTTGCCCCTTCATACCTATCTGACCTCATCCACATTGCCACACCTGTCCGCTTGAATTAAAGGGAAGAACCAAGTTACTTTTCAGCATTCCGGCGCATGAGTTGTGATTGCTCGATGATGTCAGCACATCTATTCAGTAGCAGTGGTGGTTCTAGATCAATTTCACTGAGGGGGCCTGGCTGGGGCCAGGGGTTTTGATAGAAGGGCACATTCAATCCTGGGCCAAAAAGACAAAGATTCGAAATCTTATTTGACTTTTTATTTTCATCAAACTTTAAAACCTTTGCAGACATAACATTACAGTGACGATGAAAAACAGTGTAATAATCACAGAAGTACTAAATTAAGTGCTGATGAAAGATTCACATAGGTGCAGATCTTGTGGAGCAGTCCTACCATTGCAGCAACTGTATTCTGCGATTTTGGTGATTTCTGGCAAACCGTCCGAAGTCATTCAAGATTCAGTGCTTTTGACCTCCTTGACTCGATGCAAAGTACACCAAGATTGCTTTATCTATTTTCATTCATAGTTGACATGAGGTTTGTTTTCCCAAGATTTAATGTGGAAAAACTCTGCTCTGCATTGGTGGGTCTTCTTTACATTTGCTGATGTCTGTGGAGAAAGACAAACTGAATCGATGTAAACATATTTTTTGCATGGACACAGCATATACACAAACCTGCGACACTTACACTGTTTCGGCTCTCAGACACACATAATTGTCAAAAATGTATTCATGAATGATATTTATTAATTGCATTCATTTATTTATTCCTTTATTGTATTCAGTGAATATAAATGAATACATTCTAAAGCCTGACCAGTGACTAAAATTGCAAACACACTGAAGCTCGATGTTTTGCATGCATCTAATTGTCCCAATTTTAAAAGGCAATGTCTTATATATTGTTCCTGTTTAATAAACATAAAAAAATAAAAAGGGATATTAAAAAGTTACACACACACACACACACACACACACACGCACGCACGCACGCACGCACACGCGCGCGCAGACAGTCCCAGTCTCCGTTTCCTCATTCTCAGGATCTTCATCTTTGCTGCTCTGTGTCCTCTCTGAAAAGAAGTGTCTCCAGTATCCTCTGACTCTCCCTCTCTGGTGCTCTCAACTTGCTCCTCTTTAACTCTCTCACCACCATCATCATCTGGCTCTGTCTCAGTGTCTGAATCGTTTCTTTTTCATGTAGAAATAGGATGGAATGCCCTTTTAACTTTAAATCTTCAACAGCGAAGAAGAAATACACTTCAACAACTCTACTGTTGCGGGCTTGCTTGGTTTTGTTTTTGTGGTCTTACCTTGATAATACAATATCACTCACCGTCGTGGTCATCTCGGGACTGCTTCTCTGGGGGCTGCTTCTCATCTTCGCGCTTGTCTTTGTTCAGCGGTGCAGCGCACTAAAAGGTACGACGAGAATATTAAGCCACGCACTTTAGTTCCACCTTTGGCGTCGGCGACTCGACGCGACTGTATACTGGATGGTGCCATTGGATCCAATTTGAATCTGGTTGGATTCCGGGTTTTATCTTGTATGTCACTGTGTCTTCAATCTGATTTCACGGCGGACTGAACTGGATTCAACCGCAAACGTGATTTTATCTCATTCCGGGATCGCATTCCATCTCATCCAATGTCATTTTGGATTCAAGATGATTTCATTGGGGATTAAAATGAATTTGACTGTACATTTGAGCGCAATTAACCGCAGATGTAATTTGCCTCGAATCGAATTTGTTTGTGGATTCAATTGGCTTCAATTGGATTTCACGTGGCCTTCCTTCTGACCTGCTCGCGATGATGTTTGACAGACGGCAGCGACGTTCGATGTCTCTGGAACACCAGCTGCCTTTTAGAGGCCAACTTCTCTGTCGGAGATGACGTGGCCATCTACTGGACCCAGTTTCCAGAGATCCTGGTTCATTCCTTCTCCTTTGAGGCCGACCGGCTCAAGAAACAGAACAAGCGCTTCATAGGCCGAACCTCACTGTTCAAGGAAAATATCGGCAAAGGAAACGCTTCTCTGCTGCTCAAGAACGTGGTTGTTGGAGATGAAGGGAGGTATATGTGCCGTGTGGGAACCCTCATCGGGGCATCAGTGATTCGTTTGTCAACCTCCACATCGAAGGCAAGTCTGCAAATTGCCTGATGTACATCACAGATGCAAGCAAAGACTCTCGCCGATTGTCTGTGTAGATTTTCAGTCATCCAAGTTCACTGGTGGTACTCTACCTGGAAATTGTTTTCTCGTCGTCTGTTTGCAGCTCCGGTCACTCGAATCCATATCCATTGTGACGGACGGCGGCTGATCTGCAGCTCAGACAGAATCTTCCCTCGACCTGAACTTCGCTGGTCCACCGTGCCTGCGCTGCCTCATGGCCTCATCAACACCAGCGAGGTCCACCAAGAGACGCACACGAAGCTGTACAACATCAGCGGCTGGCTTGACCTGGCGGGTGACGCCCTTCCGGACGTGGAATACGTCTGTGACGTCACCAGCTCCCGCAGCAGCGGCACAGTCACGTGGAAGAAAACAAGTGAGTGATTCATTTGCTTTTTTATGAGAATTCCTTTTGAGTTGTTAACGAGATTGTTTTCGTCCCAACTCAACTCAACTCAACTGTGTTTAGAGAGGACTTTCAAACAGCCACTGCTGCATACAAATTGCTGTACATGGCGCAACTAACATATACAACTGTAAAGCAACAAATCTGTAACAAAAACGGTAGAAAGCACCGAACAGCAAAACCAAGAACAAATGAACGTGAACGTTTACGACGCAGAAACGAGCATTGAGTGTGCGTCCGTGAGTGACCAAACCAGCGCGGTGTGGACGTTCAACCGCAACCACGTCATCGCCAGCAAGCGAGCCGGCCACAAACTCCACATCGCTGAGCATTGGAGGAAGAACATGAAGGGACTGTCCGAGGCGGGCGGCCTCCACCTGCAGGCGCTGACGGGTCACCAGAGCGGAACGTATACGTGCACGCTGAGCAACGCCACGCGAACGCGCCTTCACGACGTCTTCCTGAGAGTGACGGCAACCGAACACGGTGAGCTCCTACTCAAATGAGATGACGTCACCCAAAAGACAAATCGATGTACGGCAGACCCTCGCCAATCGGTCAGCTGCCATTTGCGAGGGTTCTTCTACGTTTTATTTTAAAGCGACATGGAATACTGTATGTTTTTATTGTTTTCAGTAGAAACCCTCCTTTATTGTGAGAGTTACAATCCAGATATGTATCATCGAGTAAAGTAGTCCTCGGTGTTCTCATGATAAGTTGAGAAGCGGTGGTGTACACCGGGTTGTAAAATGAAATTGCATTCATATTGAAGTGTTTGGGGTAAAAGCTTTCAACTAATTTAGTCACTTTAATTTTTTTTTTTTCGCAGGGATTGATCATTTAGCCACGACCTAGTGACATTGAACCGGTTCAAAAAGATCCCGAATCAGCTTCACATTTTGTGTTTTGGTCAATTTTGTTGCTGTTGAGAAATGACAACACGCCGTCGGGACGAACAAAAGAACTCGGATCTTCTTGTTGCAGGAAAACCCAAGGTGGCTGGCGTTGTGATCGTTGTGATCGTCCTGCTCGTCGTCGGAGCCGTGGCTGTGGCGGTGGCCATCTATTTGTTAAAGAACAAAAGTAGGCCCTCCCAACCGTGATTGTGTTTCTGAGACATTGTCTTATAACGTTATAAAAGACTTGTTCGATAGGACATTATCAAGATAAGAGCAACTGATGATGAGAACTTTCCAATTTGATATGTTTTCAGATTTTGCTTCGCTGTCATTATCAGAAAACAAAGAGGGAAATGAGGCTGAAGCATCGAATCAACTTTCATCACTGTCAGCCCAAAAGCGGAACGAAGAACGTGTGATCGAACAGGGTTTACTTCAGACCCCAGGTGAGGGACATCCTGATCCTGGAATGGTCGCCAGTCAATCACAGGGCACAGAAAGACAAACAAACACTCGCACTGATGGGACAATTTCGGATCACATTTGAGCTTGAACTGTGCCTCAATGACTTTTTTTTGGGGGGGGGGGTAGCGGGTGAGACCTGGATTGGCTGTCAGTCAGTCTCAGCTATGTCGCTGAAAAATAAGCAAGCATTCACACCGGATGTACGATTGAGGCTCGATGCTGAGCTGGAGTCGAACCCAGTTGACTTTTGGAGAGAGAAGTGGGGTCCATCGTCCTGAATGGCAAAAGAGAAAAGCATCTTGCGCTGCCTTCCAACTAAAAATGTGAAATTGGAGCCATCCGTCATGCTGCCGCTTTTGTTGACTTTTTATTTTTTTTTTAAAGAATGTATTAAAGACATATATGTGTACATGCCTTGTCAGTTTCATGTCACTTATATATGTGTGTGCGTGTGTGTGTATACTTGTGTCAACCTATCGGAAAAGATTTATCATTTACTGTACTGCCAATAAAAGGATTTCTCAAAGGTCAATTTCAAAGATAAGAATAAAGACAAATGGCCTCAAGCAGCCTGCTTGGAGAAGAAGAAGAAAAAAAAAAACATTGACACATTATCTTTAGACAGCTTTGTCAACATGGGGAAAAAACAAATTAAAAATTGGCATTTTAAAAACATGCTCAGTAGTCATGCTTAAAATAGAAATGATGTCGCCTTCCACAACCACGCCTGAAACTCAACACCTTGTTTCGATTTCCAACGTGTGAACTTTGTGACGACACTCCAGGTAGTTGCGCGTCAGTGCCAAGGTGCGCGGAGACAAAAGATGAAAAGGTCGCCAAACGATTGAAAAGAAACGCTCAAGTCGCCCGACAATGTCACGGGACATTGAGAACAATCTGATTACAAGTCAACCGGGTTGTGTTTAACCGCTTTTTTTTTTTTTTTTTTTTTTCCATGGCAATCTTT